CTATAAGTAATACATACCTAACATCAGTGCATTTACTGTAAGAGGAAATGACGTCTCTCACTGCTATATGTAAAATTGGAAGGTAAGTCTATTAAATGTAATAACAAAGTAAAGACAATGAAGAAGATAGATACACAGGATAAATTACCTAGAAAAGTCAAAAGTAGCAACTGAAAAATAAGGACTAAACAGAATTCAGTAAATATAAAATGTACAAAATCAAAATAACAGAAATCTAGGAAGTTCCTACAAACCAAAACAAAGAGTAAAACATTTTTCACAACATAAATAATAAAAATTACCAAGGAATAAGTTAAACAAGAAAGTGGACTTAAGGGAAAAAAGGCGAAACGTTACTGAAGGCATAAAAGAAACATGTAAATTAAGAAACATATTTCTAGTCTGAGGTTAATTTTTCTAAAATTTTCACTTTATGTGTTTGAATCAAAATCCCTTTAGAGTTTCCCTTTTTTATAATCAGAAAAGTGATTAGCAAATTCCTATAAAAAAATTAACTGGTCAGAAAATAAAACCAAGGAACCTTGTGAAAAAGAGGGTAAGGAGGAAAGACTGGTCCTGTCAGCTATTTAAACATTTAATAACTGAAATAGTTAAGTAGTATAAATATATCTAAGTAGTATAGTGTTATCATAAAAACAGAGAACATAAAGGAAGAAAATTAAGTCCAGAAGGCTTCAGTAAGATGATAGTACATTATAGATTAGTGTTAACAGAGAAAAATTATTCAATAAAAAAGCTGGGAAAATTAGGTAACCGTTTAGAAAAAATTAAAATAAGTACCTTATCTAATATCATTTACTAAAAAAAATCGCGCATAGACTCAATGCTTATATATAAAAAAATAATATAAAAATATCTAGGTGAGTATTTAGCAGCTGGTGGCATGGAAAAGTTTTTTTTTTTTTTTTTAAGCATAATAGTAATGTTACAAGCTGTGACAAAAGTGTACAGATCAGACTTATTTAAAAATTAACTAAAATAATAACAATCTTGAAAAAACATTTACATTTTAATATTGATGTCTTTAATATATAAAGATTTATAATCATTAAGAAATGGACATGTACATAAAAAAAAGAAATGGACATGTAAAAAGCTAGAAAGAATATATCAGAGGGAAATCCATTAAGTAAATAACAAAAAACATTTATTTAGCCAGCAATTCCAATTTTGATAATTTACATTAAATTATACAGCCAAGGATGTTCACTGCAGTGCTACTTGCAACTACCCTCTGACCGAAGAATGGCATCAATGGGGCCAAATTTGGTTAAACAATAACAAGAATGTATACATTAAAGAAGGCATTAGAAAAACTAAAAGGAAATAAAGCAAGATGGTTATTTTCAGGTAGTGAGATTACAGGTGCTATTTTTCTTCTTTATCCATTTGTAACTATTTGCCCAAACTTTCATGATGAATATGCATTTTATAATTAGAAAAAGAGTATAAAATAATTGCATTAATGATAATTTTCCTGAAGATATGAACATTAGAAGTCAAACGTTCCATCAAATAAAAAGCTCAAAATCATTTCTAAGTTAAACTGTCTTTGCATGCTGAAAACTTCTTAAAGCTTATTTCTATTAATATCTTAATTTAGCATGAAAACACAGTTAAAAGAAGCCAATTATTACTATCTGAGATTACATCTTCATTTTTTTCCTCAAAGGGATTTTGCTTTTAATGACTATTAAAAGGATTTTCACAATACATCTAAACACACTGCAATGAAATTATGAAAGGGTCCATACACAACAATGAATAACTTAAAGGGATACCTCATATTAATAACATCATTTCTTTCAGTGAATATTGAAAACAGCATCAGTTTAAGACTGATCATTCTATGTTAAGTTTTTATTCAGGAAATTTCATGTAGGCACTCTAAACAGGATAATGAATGTCTAATGATTTTGTGTCTAACTGAAATGTATCCTGTGATTTAAAACTCTTATTCTTAAACTATATAGCTATATTCTATTTTGTTTTCTTTAGATAACATAATTTTAAAACTTTTAACTATTTCCTAATACTTTAATTTACATTTTGCCTTTCGGTAGTGTTTCTACATTTTTTTTTTAATTTCTTTCAAATTATTTAAACCCAAATGACAAATAATGGTTTTAGGCAATATACAATCAGATAACAGAACAACTTGAAGGTTCGACATGATATAATTCTGTGGAAACACCAATATTTTCTTCCTAGTACATGTCATGTTACTATGCTGTGTCTCTTACAATAACCATATTATTTGTATGCATGTATACTAACCATATGCTAACTAATTTATACTTTGAGCACCTTATTTATCCACATCAAGTGGAAGTCCTGGCCAAATAATATTAGTGGTATTTCTAACTACTTGTCCAATGTTTTCTACCCATGCAATTTGATACTACTCAACTGTAACAAGCTTACCTTCTAAACCTATTATGAACCCACTCGAGATCTGAGTTCTTGTCTTAGATCTGCCCCTAACTAGTTCTGTTATACTGGAAGAGTCACTTGACTTCTCTAGGTTTCAGTGTTTTCATCTATAAAAAGAGGATAGAACATAGTGGAAGGCCTACAAGGTCTGTTACAATACAAATTTTATTATCAATGTCAGGGATCATATTCCATTCTAATCACTCTTAATATTTAATTAGTGCCTACTACGTGGAAACACTATGGGTAATACAACATTAATAAATGAAAAATTCTTAGTGAATTTTTTTGAACTAAAATGCCCAGACTCAAATATGTTGTGTATAGTACTCTACTGATTATCATTAGCATAATTCTTTCCAACTCCATGAACAGAACTGGCATTTATTTCCTATTCATGCTACTATAAAAAGTCTCCCTTACCTACTTCTGCCTTTAGCCTATCTAAATCACTTTCTTTTACCTCTGTTGCTCTCTACTGAACTGTAAATTAGTTGCTCAAAATTAGAGTTCTCACTACTGCTCCCAAACAATGTGATGTTTTGGGTCTCTTTTGTGTAAAAAATCTTTTTTAACTTTTTTTAGAAAAAAAATCATATGGATTTATGGGAATCTCATAAAAATATTTCAAGGAAAAATTCAAATATTATAGGAAAACAACCAAATCTTGCCCAAGGCAGAATGTAGGAATATAAGGACTGCTTTCACAGCCCAGGATCACCCTTCCACAAATGCAGCATACTGTCTCCAAGGTAATATGAAGGATGGTGCACAGGAAAGTCATTACTTCAAAAATATATGAGTATCTTGTGTTCCCTCATTAGTCCGTTATGGAAATGTCATACATTTATTTGCCCAATGTGCCTTTTGGAAAACCAGCAAGACATCTGTGGATAATTAGTCCTTTAACATTTTCTACTTCAAACAACGTTTACAATTTTAGAGCTAAAAGAAACCTTGGCTTGGGCAATGGTAAAACTCTCCTAAAAAAAAAAAAAAAAAAAAAAATCAGCCGGGCATAGTGGTGTGTGCCTGTAGTACTAGCTACTTGGAGGGCAGAGGCAGGAGGATCGCTTGAGCCCAGGGGTTGGAGGTGGGAGTTAAAGCTGTAGTGAGCCATGATCATGCCATTGCTCTCCAGCCTGGGTGATGGAGTTAAACCCCATCTTAAAAAACAAAACAAAACAAAACCAAAAATGAAACCTCATACATCTTCAACTGCTTCATTTTATAGATGAACCAACTGACAAAGAGTGGTTAAAATAATTGTCTACATCATACAAGTTTAATGACAGAATCTATTCTCTTGATCATCAATCCAGAGTTTCAACATGTCACACAAGTTTACCTGATTCCTGTAACCTTTTACTGAATTTAAATTTGCTTTTTTGAAGCTTCAGAATGTTCAATTTTAACTAACTTGAATTTAATGAAGAATTCCTGCTTACTTTAAGTATATGTATATATGCTTAATAAGGGCAAGGGCTGTGTCTGTCTTATAACTGTATCCTTAGAACTTATCACAGGGTCTGGCATATAGGTATTCAATGGATAGTTGTAGCCTGAATGAATGAACAGGTTGGATGATATTAACTCTCAGTTTTAATCTTTATAAACAGAAAATAAATCTAGTTATTCAGTTTAACTTTGTTCGCTTGATCATTTCAGATACATTTATTTTCTCTAGCTCCATTATGTTTCTTTTGGTAACGTAGTGAGAATTTTCAGTAGATACCAATAATCTCCATAAGTACAATTCCTTCGCATTACTTTACACTGGTGAGCAAAAGCACTTATTTGACACTTTTCTCCCCAAATATGTAAGTACAAAACATTAATGCCTGTTGGTTTTACATTTCAATATGCCCCCAAATTTGATTTTATTTGCTCTGCCAGAATAAATTCCTCCTTCCAGATCAATTATAAAAATGTTAAACGAGACTATATTTAGCACCTATTAAACTTTTTCTAACCAGAAGGGTTCATCAGCCTCTATACTTTAGTTTCCTGTATTTAAATAAATTGTATGTACAACCACATTTATTTGAGTATCTTATATGTGCAGGTCACTGAACTCTCTGGTCCTTGAATAAATAATATACAATATTCTTTAGTATGGAGAAGTAGAAGAGTTTTAGATTCATGAAAATGGCCTTTAAAAAGTCCAAGTAAAAAATCATGTTTTAGTTTTTTCTTTTGTATTGACTTACTTATTGCCTGCTACGCTCTAACCCCAGATACATACTTCCTATCATCCTTAAGAATTCTACAGGAATCCTTTTATTCACCAATCCTACATCACTGTCCTTGTAATCTCAGACCTCCCTCCTGTCATCCTGAAGAACTCTACAGAAATCCTTTTATTCATTAATCCTGCCCTTTATTACATATATTACTATAGAATCTTAGAGCTGGAATGAATCTTAGATTTTTCTAAGTGTAATTCCTGTATACCAGCTTTATATTCACCAATAATAAAACTATGGCCAAGTAAAGTATTTTACCTCTTTAACACATCAGCATCCAATTTTACACATAGTACTTACTTGTACTCATCATAGACTTCCTGTTTGGGCAGTGAAGTCTCAGGATGTTCCTCTAGGGTATTCCGAATCCAGGAAAAGGCGTGCATTTGTTGTGCCCGACTAGATGACATGGCATTCTGATCACTAATAGAATGAAAACATGTTTTAGCCGACCAGACAGCAATTGACTGATAATTTTTGAGCTAGGCCTAAATGTTCCACTCAAGAACTGTGTGCAAATATACTATAAATGACCAAACCAAACTTAGGATATCAAGTAGATAATTGTCCACCTATGGTTGTGAGTTGTTTTCTACAGCTAGTTTAAGACTGAAGTTACTGCCCTGCTCCATCCCTCCCTTTGCAGGTGATGGAGCACTGACAAAGTACTTGTTTTGGTCAAAATCACCTGTAAGTGGATATTTGCTCATGCACTTGTCTGTTCATTTGCCTACACTTACCATCATCAAACTTTAAAACAAAAATTAATAACCTCTCGGAAATCTTACTAAAGCACAATATGCTCCAGAATGGAATTCACATCCGAGAGATCTGCAACAGACACATTTCTTCCTACAATCCTTCCTACAGCCATGCCCCCTGCCCCAGGCTGACAGATCCATTAAACATTGTAAACTTTTATTATATGGAAGTATTATTTGTAAATAAATACCATGAAATGACACCAAAGATAGCACAATAGAAGCTACTCTACTGATTCTGATATCTATCTCAGCTATCTATAAGAATAATTTATTGAATTTCAAATAAAACACTGAGCAAGTGTCTAGGACATAACATGATTAAAACAGTTATAAAATTTTCATTTCATTTATTTCTACATACAGTTTAAAAAAATAGAGCGGTAAGCACAATTTATATGAATAAAATGAATTCTGAGAAATACTTAAAAGCTTAAGGAAACTTAAAAAAAATAGAATGACTGAATGAACAACTTCTCTCCACATTTTCTAAATTTTTTAATGATGAAACTATAGTAGTACCCCAAGCGCTTAACACACCATCCATTTATCATGAATTCATGTTTCGTAAGGCAATTTCACTTTATTTTCTGTTTTATATTCTCTGATGTGTTTACCTGATAGTACCTAAAAAGACTCATACCTGATTCCTTACAATACCTATCTGTTTATTCTTTGATTTTCTGTTCAATTTTCACAATCCCTCACATACGCATAAGCATATTCATCCATCTATGAAACAAAACCCAAATTGCATGTCATAACATCTACCCCCTTGCAAAAATAAATTAGCAAAAACTGCAAGTAAATACTTAACCAAATATCATCAAAGACTAAAATGATGTATTGTTTTGCCATCATGTTTTCTAATGATTTTAGGAATATTGTAAAAACTATAACAACCACAACATACACACCCCTCACATATATCCTAGGGACTTCCTGTAAAAAACATAATTATACAAAACTAGGAATAGATATACCTTTTCTCTCCATTGCTGAGACCAGAAGGCAGCTGAAGGTAGAGGTAGAGTTTCTCTAGGTCTGTAAACTTCTCAACTTCTTGCTGTTTACAAAGGATTAAAAAGATCATTTTAAAAAAACACTCATTTTTCCCCAAACAAAATTTACTAACATCTCCCTAAAAGTTAATTACTGTTTAAATTTTTTTTTTTTTTTTTTTGAGACGGAGTTTCACTCTTGTTACCCAGGCTGGAGTGCAATGGCGCGATACTGTTTAAATTTAAAACAGATGAATCATTTGCCAAATAAAACAAAATCTAGGCATTTTTTCTCATCACTAAAATAATACAATTAGTTTGTTCGAATAAATTTATTGCATGCAAAAATTTAATAAAATGGTACTTCCCTATTAGTTCTTATATCACAGGCATAAATAAAATTATAGACCAATACTCAGACAAAAGCTTCTCATTTTTAATCACATTTAAAGAAGGAGAGTTTTACAGTAGTTACAGAACAAATACTGGACCAGGAGTCAAGAGAAACTTTATTAGTCTTCGTCTGACCATTAACTGGCTATGAGGTTTTCAGTTTTATGGCAAATTTTCCATACAGCTATAAAATGAATAATTTCTAGAATCCTTTTCTAATTTTCAAATATTTAGGACATGTGACTGGTGGTGCTACTGTTACCTGTGAATAGAACTGAGGTTAAAAATATTGAAATAAAACCAATAACTCTTTCCAGACATTACAGATGTAATTACTTGTTGGTTTGCAACAGTGGCTGCTATATAGAGAATCTACCAATAGTAAGATTTTCTATTGCTATTGTCCTGCAACCATGTCATTTTGTCTCTAAATGTGCCCTTTAAAATAATTTTTGCCTTCCTCTTTGTAACTTTTTTCTAAACTGAGTTTGCTATAACGGCTTCAAATGTGCCACAAATCCTATTATAATAAAAATATCCATAGTAAAATTCTGGTAGCCTAATTCAAGCAAAACTCCACTGTAATGAAGAATGTGGACAGATTATTGGCATTCCCGGTAGAATTTATTCTAACTTAATAAAGCATAAACAGAGATTCAGTTTTTGAAAAAACCTAAAATGATATAATCAAGCCTATTCTTAGTCTCATTAGAAGACATCCACAAAAGTTTAATCTTAGAATCCATCTACATAATGATTTAACCAATCACATGCAAATAGCTCCCAAATTTACATTTTTAAAACCCGGTGGCCTTATGGGGTCTCATAAGCCCTGGCCTCAGCTACAGCCTGGGCTCCAGCTTTGGCTCTGGCGCAGGCTCCAGCTCTGGCTCTGGCGCAGGCTCCAGCTCGTTCAGCTGCACCAGCTGCACCAGAACCACCAGCACCACCAGCATCACCAGGGCTATGGTTGTGAAGAAGACTGAGATCCGCAATGGGAAGCTGGTGTCTGACGGGAAGCTGATATCCAAGTCCTCTGACTTCTTGCCTAAGTGAAAAGCTGCAGTGGCCCCTCCCAGCCTGCCCCTCCTGAGGCTGCCCCAGAGCCCTGGAGGGAGGCCCCTGTGCAGGGGAGCACAGGGAACAGGAGACCCACCTGAGGCTCAGCCCTAGCCCTCAGCCCACCCGCGGGGGAATTTACTGCCTGGGGACCCCCCTTGCCCATGCTTCCAGCTGCAAAACAATTCAATCTCTTTTTCTTTTGGTCCAAAATAAAACCTCAGCTAGCTCTGGAAAAAAAAAAAAAATCCTATGGCATACAGGTATTTTCCAATTAGTTCTTGCTCCAATACCTAATAATACCAGCTATACCCTGTGTGTAGCTCTCCCCTCAAAGAAAACAAACACATATTTCCTTCTTAACTGCTACTTATCATCACCTTCTTTTTTCTTATTTCCACAGTGTTCAGTTTTGGAGTCTGTTTAACTCTCTTGGTGCATTCCATATTAATCCTTTATTTTGCCCTCTAACTACCTGCCCCATCTTCTTCCAGTCTTTTGATTTTTCACTGCCACCACAGTAGTGTAGGTCTTCAGCTGTCTTTCAACAATAAGAATAATTCATTTGCTTATACATTACTTTTGTTTTCTGCTATGTTCCACAAATGGCATAAAATAACTAAGAACCTATACCATATATCACAAATCATACAGAGAGTGAACAATACAACATAGGTGAGTAACATACCACCACCACAGTTCTTGCCCTTAAGGGACTTTTAATGACACTTAAATTTCTAAAATGTCTAGCTGGTTTTCCTACCTCCAAAGTCTCCCTACTTTAATCTGTCTTAAATATGGTTCCTGAAATATTTTTTTGTCAAAGAAATTTTTTTCTTTAAAAAGAATCTCACTCTGTTGTCCAGACTGAAGTGCAGTAGCATAATCATAGCTCACTGCAGCCTCAAACTCCTGGGCTCAAATGATCATCCCAACTCAGCCTCACAAGTAATTTGGGCTACAGGTGCGTGCCACCACAGCCAGCTAACTTTTTAATTTATTTTTTGTAGTGTCAGGGTCTTGTTGTTGCCTAGGCTGGTCTTGAATTCCTGCCTGGCCGCAAGTGATCCTCCTGCCTCTCAAAGTGGTGGGCATGAACTATTGTCCAATATTATTAACATCACTCACTTAATCACAACAATGACAATTATAATAAATTCAGAGAAGGTTATAATAATAAAATGTCTATTATTATAAGCCATGTCTGAGAAAATGTAATAAAAAGATCATTTTTCATCACTAAGAAACACATCTCCTATTGTTGGAGAAACCTTGGATTCTACATAACTTTCAAATTTTAAACATCCTGGACAAAAGAATACAGAATAAATTCCAGAACACAGAAGAAACATCAAAGAGGTGATTTAGAAGACATCCAAAAAAAAGTTTTGAAAAAGAGGTCGGCGCAGTGGTTCACGCCTGTAATCCCAGCACTTTGGGAGGCCGAGGTGGGCGTATCATGAGATCAAGAGATTGAAACCATCCTGGCCAACATGGTAAAACCCCATCTCTACTAGAAATACAAAAATTAGCTGGGCATGGTTGCACATATCTGTAGTCCCAGCCACTCAAGAGGCTGAGGCAGGAGAACAGTTTGAACCCGGGAGGCGGAGGTTGTAGTGAGCTGAGATTGCGCCACTGGACTCCAGCCTGGGTGACAGAATGAGATTCCGTGTCAATTAAAAAAAAAAAAAGTTTTGAAAAACATCAAACTCAGTGTCCTAATTTTTTTTCAAACAATGAAAACTTGTAACTGTTCAATTACTGTTTTGATTGCCATATGCGGTACAACACACAGAAGAAAAAATTTGGAAAGTAGCATGAAGCTGATAATAACAAAATTCTGTAAAGCAAACCAGAAAAAATTACCCAGGTATATTGTGATGGCATTTCAGTCCAGCAAGGCTTGGGCTCACCATCAAGATTTCCGGTTTTGGATATACTGTGTCATTCACTGCTAATTAATGGCTTCTAAAACAATGCTCACTGGTTTAGGAGAAGACCCTAACCTTGCTTGATTATCAAGGCAAGAGTATCATGTGGCAAGTATTTTAAACATCAGATTATTTGATCTGCTTCGTGAAGATTTAAATGATAAGAACTGAAAGTTTTCTGTTCTATGTTGAAATTCATTGGTTGTCAAAAAGAAATACCTTTGGCTGAATTTATAAAATAAATGATAATAGTATTCTATTTTTGGAGCACCAGAGAAAAGACCAACTGTAAAAACTTTAAAAATTATAATTTCTTATTCAGCCATAAAAGAAATGGAATATTGATACATGCTACAAAATGGATGAACCTTGAAAACATTGTGCCAAGGGAAAGAAGCCAGACACATACCATGTGATTCCATTTATATTAAATATCCCCAATAGGCAAATCCCTAGGGACAGAAAGCAGCTTAGTGTTTCCCAGAGGCAGATGATTGCTTAAAGTGTGCTCAGTTTCCTTTTGGGGTGAAGAGGTTTTGAAACTAGATTGAGGTGGTAGTTGTACAACACAGTGAATGTACTAAACATCACTAATGGTAACTTTTATGTGTATTTTACTACAATAAAAACTCTAATTTTTAACAGAGCTTCACACATTTGGCAAACACATCTGATGATTCGAAGTAAAACTTAAATGACAAGCAATATCCGTAGACTTAAAAGTCTTTACTTTCTTGAGTTGGAGAAGTTCTAAAGAAAAGTTAGGTTTCAAATTTAGGGGAAACCTCAAATATTATTCCAGTCTGTTGTATGAGGTAGCTTATAATTTCATTTTATTGCAGTTGAAGATCTTGCCTGAAAACATAAAGACCTCTTTCTCACTTCCATCTTTGCAAAAAGACATTAAAAAGGAATCTTTGAACTCAAGTTTGATTTATATGTCTAACACATTCCAGTAAACTATTTTGGAGAATTTTTGGTAAAATATCCTTGGTTATTCCCAGCAAGTGAGCCCACCTTGCATGTCATTATCCCATTTTCATAATAATAGATTTATTAAGATGGTTTTTCTGAACCTTTAGCTATGAAAGCATAACAATGCTACAAACTTAGTGATGACTGAGATGGTATTTTGACCTTTCACATTCTGGACAGAAAAGCTTGTAGCAAACAGTCAGATTCAACATTCATTTTTATATCATGTGATCGAGGGGAAAATGAAGGCATAATGTAAGATCATGTTGCTTTTGAAGGTTCAAGATGGAGTTTGGTTGTTGAATCATGCCACTCAATCCCTTCCCTTCTAAAACTTTGGCTGATAAAAAATACTGACATAAGAACTACTAACATGAAGCCATCTAATCCTTCTAAGAGGTACAAGTGAAGTGGTAAAGAGAACATGAGGCAGAGTATTCCATTTGCTTACCTATATTTCTCAGCCTACTTTGCAGTTAGCTTGTAGTTATGTAATTATTATGAATATGATCACAGTGACATAATTCACTACTCAGCTGACATATTTGAGAATCCATGTGTTATCCCATCCCACTTCCCCCTCTGTGGAACTTGGAAGCCATGTGTTACACCAGTGAAGCTATAACAAGTTGGCCTTTCTGTCAGTGTTGGCTCTGAGGGACTATTTGGAGCAGTGGTCTCCGGTGATTTCTGCTGTATATAAT